TGTGGGCTGGACCCCCCGCCCTCCGTGATTGCTCCGTGGAGCCGCGTTTTGGCGTGCAAAGTGACTGCGACGTGTCCGTTGCGTCACCGACAATTCCACTTTCGGGGGGGCCCAACCTCTTAAACACGGGGTATTTAAGGAGTTGCCGCCTGGAACCCGCACTGGGGTTTCAGAAGTTGCCTTGTTGAGGCGCAGCAGTGCCACGACCTAAGTTATGCCAGATCGACCTTTGAAATGCTTTCCGCATCAGAAACCGCAAACAGTGTCCTTTCTTCAGACCCCCTACCGATTGGAGTTAGAGATTAAAGTGGGATCACTCCCTGAGTTCCTGGACTTTAAACTTTTTGGGAAGACCATTTTGGTGGTAAACAGCAAGTTTGGTTACGTTTTTTGGCCCATCAACTCAGGAAGTAAGGAACAAAAGGAGCTGTTTCTAAGAAAAGCGAGGCCGACTCGCCGTGCTTTGCCCTTTCCGCCAGGCGCAGGTCTCGGAGACCCAGCTGCTTTGGGCGAGCGCCGAGGCGATGAGTCTCTGTAGGAGTTCATGGGCTTGGCGTTTTGGTTTTGCCGCGGCTCCAGGGGTTTTGAAGGAAGGATCCCTGGAAAGAATGGGCAAGGTACCCCTAGAGTTTTACCTTGAGTCGCCTCCTGATGTTTTTTTTAAAAAAGTGGTTGGTCATGACCCTAAAGGGGTCCTGGACCTCCAAAAACAATTTGGGAGAGGGGGGGGGCAGAAGGAGACTCCAGGTAGGTGTGTTTTAAGTGTGGTTCTCTTCATGTTTAGGTCTGCAAAGAGGAGAGCGAGTGGTGTTTGCAAGCCCGTACCAAGGGGTGGAAAGGTGGTAGACCCAAAAGGAGTTTCCTCTACAAATTGTGGTTTTTTGGATCTCATGTTGATCTGCATAGGGGAGTACCTGTCGGCCGGTTTAGACTCTTTCGTTGCCATGGAAACTGACTGGGTTTGGAAGAGACTTTTCCTCGAAGGATCTTTGGCTGGGTTACATCTTATGTAAGGAGAGCATTTAAGAGTATAGTTCCCCCCCAAGAAGTGCAAGCTTGCCCAGCTGAAGGTTAGGCAAAACGGGGATGCCATTTGTTTGAGCCTTTTGTGACTCGATCACCGAAAGGGGTCCTGTCGCACCAACTACCCGCAAGTTGGGGGAAACTATGGGCTCCCCCTGCCAAAAGGGGTAACTTAGCACGTTTTGCATCGTCAACAAAGCACTCTGAAGATGAAATGACAACAGCACGATTATAAAGCTTGAACACGAGTGGGTGAAAGAGGTACAGTGGTCGGCGTGTCACATGCCGAACAGCATAGTGATGTCCTTGGACCACCGTCAACCAAACACGTGGTTGTCGTCGTATTTGTTCCCTACGAGGACTGATTCTTTGGGAGGGCGGCCCCGTTAAAATTGAATGTTGACCCTGGATTAATGAGCCCCTGCTTGTTAATATGGGGTGTTCCCCTTCAATAGTGGTCTGAACCCCCACTAAAATACCCTGCACACTCCTGTATTGCGGTACCAAATTGGGGTATATTAATCTTCGGTTGACACTACCTAAAAAATAAGTTGCCCTTTTTTCAGGGGTTCCTCCAGTGCCGCTTGTGGATCGTCCAAAAGTGGCAATGTCAATGAAAAACACCAGTAACTTGATCAACTTTTGATTTGGGGAAATCTTGCTCGACCCCTTGTGCAATGGGTTGACACTACCACACACCTTTCTCATGTGCCCGTTGATTCCTTGGCAGCGGGCTCCAAAAACAAACATCTACCTGGAGTCTCCTTCTGACCCTGGGAAAATGGTTGGTCATTACCCTAAATCAAGGGGTCATGGACCCATTTTTGTTTGGGGGGGTGGGGTCAGAAGGAGACTCCAGGTGAGTCACAATCAAAACCCGGGTAGATGAAGGCTAGTAAGGGGCAGTCGCTGGAAATAGTTGCCTGTGCCGCCTTTTCAATTCCTTATATAGTGGGTCCATCATTTGTGTACCAGGTTTTTTTGATTATGACTCCAGGTGCCAAGATCTCCAATACTAAAAATGGACAGAACCGACCAACAACTAAGAACGTAGGAACATGCCGTGGCATGAAGCAATGTTGAGCCCGGATCCGTAAACACACCCCATTATTCCGCGAGTGTTCCCTCCAAAACTGGTCTGAACCCCACCAGGGGTTACGCCATCTCTCAAAGTCAACCAGTTGTTTGATTATGAAAAAAAAACATGTAAACCCAACAAGCCGTGTAAAAGGTCAATCCCATGTAAACCAACAAAAGGACATATACCGTCATATACCCGCACCGTTTTTGTGTTGTTTGGGCCTTCCACGGGTCAGTGGTCGCACCAAACGAACGAAGCGATGGGCCAGGCGGTCCAGGCCGAAGTGCGCGACCGCCCGCAGCCCCAGCAGGGTCGAAACCCTCGCAGAGGAACGGAGTGCAACTGGGCTCAATGGCTATGTCTATTCCTGACTTCCTGAGTTCACGAACTTTAAACTTTTTGGGAAGACCATTTTAGTGGTAAATATAAAGTTTGGACTTTTTCTGGGCCATCCACTCAGCCGGTGAATTTGTTGCAGCCCTGAGGCTCACGACCCTATGTAAATGGGGCATAAAACACATCTAGACACAGTGGTACCCAGGTGCCAGTGGATTCCGCCCTTTTTCCCACTTGTTTGGGGGAAGAGTTCCCCTTCAAACTCAACCAACCAAAAAAAGGATGCCCTTTTTGCCCATGGCCACTAGGCATTTGAGTGTATATGTTTGCAGCCCTGAGGCTCACGACCCCTAGAATGCAGGCCCCATAAGAGGCCCTCCAATGAAGAGCCCGGACGAATTCCTCAGCAATTGAAAACCCATTTTCAGGGCCCAAAAATCATCGAATTGGAGCCTTAGGGAGGGCACGCGTAGTTGGTGTGGACAGTAAGCTTCGCAGGGTACACTTTGGCGTAAAGGAAAGCCGACAACACACTCCAACTAACGTGGCACCTGTGGGGAGGTACCTGGAAGATTCATGTCCTTTTGAGGAGAGCCACTATCAGTTGCCATGTTAGTTGGAGGGAGGGCCACTTTTCGGGTTCGGACCATTTTAGTGGTAAATCACCAGTTCAGACTTGTTGTTGGCCCATCCGCTCAGGCAGTGAGACAAAGCGCACAATGTCAGGCCCTTCACACCTCTCCCCGTCCTCTCCTCTCTGCAGGTTCTACCCATTGACTACCTGCACCCAGAATTGACTCCTCGTTGCTTTGACCCACAGAAAACCGTCAGGCTGGGTATGCAGTGTTTGCTTTTTCGTTTAGAGGCTGCAGAAAGCAAAGTACTTGGCGAACATGCTCTGGTTCAAGGAGGACTGGCTTCCCCTTTCTGTCGAACGCTTGACACAGCGCTTCTCCAGGTGTTCCTTATGCCGGGTGGTACATCTGCAATAGATGTGTCCCTTTCCAAGAGTCACCCGAGAGTGACATAGTTTTCGTTTTGAGCGTTTTGCCAGCTCTATTTGACATGTTTGGACAGTAGCCATCAAAACCTCCAGCACAAAGAGTCCAAGTAGCCCAAAAGTTCCAGGTGAGTCGTCAAGTAGAGAGTCCTCAATTCCACAAATATGAGTATGGGTCAAAAATGTTAAAATTGAACTACCATGGGACTGGGTTTTGGTCCATGCTTCCAGTTCCGCCATTTTGAGGTTACCAACTACTTTTGACCCACAGCCATATTTTCGGTAAGGTTTTGTGTGGGCAGGAAGGCAATCCGCTTTTTCAAGACGTGGAACCTGCGCAGCCGGGGGTTCGAACCTTCGCGCGCGCTCAAAGAGCGCGCCAGAGCGCTGCGCGGAGGCTTGGCGTCGGGTGGGCGTTGAAGGGTGGCTCCCCTTCCATTTGCTGAATAATATTATGTTGCATTTCCCCCTGTTGGGCAAGAAGGGAAGCTACGTCTGCTCATTTTTTGTCCAGGGGACTTACGCAATTGGAGGTCCCCTTGGACTCTTTGACACCGAGGACATTGATTCAACCAATGATCTAGTCGCGTTAATATATCTATTTTGACCTTGGAGGTGCATAATTCCATGTCGCAGCAGGGTAGTCGGTTGTTTCTGCCTCGCCAACATTAGAGGCTTACCACTCAGTTTGTGCTGGCCCCTCTAAATCTCGCTCTTTGGCAGGTTTCTGCACTCAAACTAATCACCCCCCAAACAGGGTTCCCAAGGCCAGCAAGTTTCCTTTGAACCGACCGGAATAAACTCTTTAGTGCCGGAGCTGTTGCAGAAGTATGTGTGTGTGTGTTTTTGTTGCCGGCTTGCTTGGTTTGGTAGACCTAGGATTTGAGATTAAACCTTGGAAACTGGACCCACTTGGTTGCAACTACAGAGTCCTCCTTGAGTGTACGCCTCAATACGCGGTACAACACTCGTCATGTTCCATGCATAAGTGTCCTTTTTTGTTGTGGTAGAAAATAGATTGCGATTCCTGATTGACAGTTGTTTGTAGCAGGGCCGTCTATTTTCCACCAAAAGGACATCTATGTTTCCAAAGCTCAGTCCTCCAAATCCAAATTTTAGGTGGCTTTTTGTGCTCTGAGCCTAAAGATCGAATCAACAGCTGGTAGAACATTGGGTTAGCTTCTGTTTGCCTGCCTTTACCCGGGCCCTTTTTCGGGCGCCCCGAAAGGTTGCGGACGTTGGGTTGTGCTCTTGTCTGGGGAATGAAAGGGAAACCAAGGCACGCGGGCATATGGCATCGGCTTTTGGAGCGGGTTTCAAGCAGTTGGAACCCTGGTAAGACTGATGTTTGTCCTTTGGCCAAGTTCGAGCTGCTTTTCTTTAGGGTATGCCTTCTTGGCCTGGTTCCAAGGGAAACCAAAAGGAAGCCCACACTTTTTGGGCCCCCTATTTGACACATACCCATCTGGGGAGACACAAAGAGTTTAAGGCTACCCCTTCTTCAAGCTGCCTGAAATCTCTATGAGCCCTCGCAGAGGGGAATGTACCCATAGCTTTGGAGAATGGTTGTGGGATCAAGGGGTTGATCCCCACTTTAAAAGGGGGTTTGTTTTTGGGAAGCCTTTTCTGTTTCACAGAAGTGGTCATTTTATTTTCCACAGACCTTTGAAGCGGTCCGAAAAAACAATAACCCAGGTAAGTTCTTGCCCCCAAAGAGGCGTGCTGGAGCTCGCCAGATGGCGACGCTCCAGTCCACTGTTGACCTGCAGGCGCGCACGATCGCGCGATCGTGAAGCTGTAGCCAAGGACGAAATCGGCCCCGAGCTTTGAATGGCATTAAATTGTCCCTCGGTTTGGCGGTTTCCGGAACCCCAAAGGGCTTCGCCGTCCTTATCTACATGGCTCAGTGGGTAGCTGAGACGCCGTTTGCTGGATTTGCCTTGTTTTCTTCTTGCGATCAGGAAATCAACCGTACCTTTCATCGTTTGGGGACGGAGCAAAGCACAGGAAGTGACTCACGCTGTCAAATCCATTTGGGTGTATTGTTCTGAACCCCCCCCCCCCCCCCCGCCTTTTGCTATTTGTCACCTGCACCCCAACCAGCACCACGACCAGCACCCTGACCAGCACGCGCAACAGCACGCGCCGAACAAGCACCGGTGAACAGACCCCTCTTTAGAAGTAAGAACCCCGGCTAAAGCCATGAGCACAAACCACAAAGCAGGACACATTTTTTGAGAGTCGACGACTTTTGCGACACGCCCAAATGGTAGCGTGTCACACTTGTTTGAGGCTGCCTCTCTGTTCGGTGCCTAGATAGCCAAGTTGCTGTTTTTTGTTTTCAGTCACCTTTGCTGTTTTTTGGATGGTAAAGTGCATGGACAAAAGCGATCACTGGTGATCCAGGTGGTTTCTGGAAGCGAAAACCAAACGACAGCCGCCATCCCCGGCCTTTCAGGTGCCGCCCGGAACTGGCGAAGACATCTTCGAGCCTCGGAGATGTGTGGTCGGATTTCGGGGGTTTCTGAGCCGAGCGGAGCATGGCGATCGCGATCCCATGTTCTCATTCCGAGGTCCGTTGGACTTCAGACACTTATGGGGATTGGTGAAAATCATCTGGGTGTGGCTCAACATTAATCAGGAGGGGTTACGCAGGTTTTGGTCCATAGTTCCACTTGCCAGGGATCCATTTTGGTACCGGTTTTTTGAGCCACAGCCACCATCTTAGTGGCATGGCCAAAAAGTGTTGGATACTTTTTCTGGCCAATCTACGGAAGTCAGGGCTTCTCGGTGTTTCCGGTAGGCGGAAATCTACGCACCCCGTGAATTTCCAAAACCCATTTATGGTTGGTCGGAATCGGATTGATGTCAGAATGGGGATGCAGGCTTGCGACAACCCCCTGAAGGGTTGATCTGGATTGGTGGCTGATTTTTTGAAGCTGGTTGTCGTAAAGGGTAGCTCGGAAACCAACCCCATCAACCTCCAAAACACCAATCCAAACTACCCATCGGGGGCGACAGCCCAGGGTTTTGAAGCCATTTTCTGCAGAGAAGGATCCCTGAAGATTGGACAATAGCAAGGAAGACCAAACCCTCTTGCGAGAGCAGACACTTCCTAGAGCTTGCCATCCAAAAGCATCGATGATTGTGGGGCATGTTATTTCAACAGAACGCACATGGGGATAAACCTTGATGAAATTTGAAGCTCACCTTTGGGTTGCTGGTGTTTAGGAGTTTTTTTGGGGGGCAAAATGCAGGACAACGCAAAACCTTGAGCTTGTTACCCAGTTTTGCTCAATTTCGAGCAAAACCCAGATTGGCATCCCCACAAGCACCGATGTTTTCGTGATGTTCCTTCCAAACGCGAGTCCAGGGCTAACCCCCTGTTTGAAGATCTTTCAGATATCTTTTGTCTCACTTGCCAAAAGCAAATCGACCTTTTAATCTTTTGGTTTCCTATGTTGGTCCATTTGTAGTACAGGTCCAAAAAGGTTAACCTTTCATTTCTAGCTCCTTTGGGCAAGTGAGTTGTACATTAATTTATGCTTGATTCTGTGTTTATCCGGGGGCAAACATACAAAACTCTAATTTGCGTCCGAAAAGGAATATGAGCTTCTCCAAACAGGGGCCACCATTTTTAGGTATATAGCATCGAACACACACGCACACACACACACACACACACACACACACACACACACACACACACACACACACACACACACACACACACACACACACACACACACACACACACACACACACACACACACACACACACACACACACACACACACACACACACACACACACACACACACACACACACACACACACACACACACACACACACACACACACACACACACACACACACACACACACACACACACACACACACACACACACACACACACACACACACACACACACACACACACACACACACACACACACACACACACACACTTAAACTCCAGATGGAGAGTGCTAATCTTTCGAGTACAACTGATGAGTCTCGAGTACAACTGATGAGTCTCGAGTGGGTGGGATTCGGCTTGCAATACACTCGGTTTCACTCTAGTGTCGAAAACGTTACCCGAAAGAACAAGAAGCACAAACAGCGCCGCAACCAAGGGGGCCAAAAGGACGTTGCATCACGGCAGGTACGTCAGTCCAGCGTCCTGGACTGATTTCACGATCCAATGGTGCGGTCTTCGTTGGGCGATGCACACCAAAGGAACCATCGCCCCCCTGCCCCTGCTGCTACGGAAACTGTTGTGGTGGCAGGGTTTTCTGCCACTCCGCACACACACGCCCCTCTACGAGGGGCGAGGTTTCTCTTTTTCTGCAGGAAGATCACATGCTCAAACTCAAATCTCTATCGTTGACCAAAATATCCTCCACGGCGAGGGGAGCGAGACACTGCCCTAAACCGCTCAGAAGACGGGAACGAAAGATCACAACGTTGAGCATTGCGAGTGTCGCCATAGAGGACTGAAGCGACCTGCGAAGCAGCCGGGCGATCACCATGAGAAAACGGAGTGGCATAGGTAAAGGTCTCCTCAACTTGAACGGCATCGGAGTTGTGACCTTGACCAAGAGTCTGATCATGTGAATAGTGAGTTGCGAAGGACTCAATCCGAGACAGAATGTGCTGGTACCCTTGGTGTTGCCAGTCACGGATGTCCCATGCCTGGACTGGCGCATCAGGATCCGTCACCCGCTGCCATTCACGAAAAGAATTTTCAGGTAGATCAGGTACGGTGTCACCACGGTGCCATCGTTGAGGTTTTCCCGGAGTGTATATCCGCACCCACTCCTGATCATGCCAGACCGAATATTCGAGCCATGGATACTGCTTGGACTCATCGATGTCCATGTTGAGGCAAGAGGCAAGGATGGTCACGGGCTCCGATCCAGCTAGTAGATAAACAAGCACCATGCACAACCATGTTCAAACAACAGCAAAGCAAGATCATGCAAGTGTAGAGGCCACCCTTATTTTGTACGCTGCGCTGCTCATGCATGTCTAGTCTTCAGTCAGCTCGAAGACGGGCCTCATCTTGTCTTGGCCGCTGTCGGACGGATTCACGGGCCTGTAGGGATCGGAGACCCCAATCGTCTCCGACGGAGTGTTTCCACGCGATGCACGTACTGGTTGATGAGGGTGGGAAGCCTGACGTGCGCGGGCTGTCAGTTGTTGAGAAATCCCCTCCTGGAGACGAGTCAGTTCTTCAGTGGAGAAATCAGCCGCATCCGAGGACCTGAGAATCGCGTCTAACAGCTCCGGTGACATACTCAATGCCGCAGACTGCGTGGCCACGCTGTGGTGATCGGAGGGATACATGGAATCAAATTCATGACCAGCGTGGGGGGCAGCGATTCTCCGATAGCCTTCAGTGGCCCAGTCTCGTTTGTACCACGTAGTGACTTGGACTTGCCCTTCGACTGAGTCCTGGTTGGGAGCATAGAACTCCCGCCATTCTCTAAAAGTATGCGGAGGAGGTGGAGCATCATGTTCTTCTTGAGGCGTCCATGGTCCCGGATGAAAGATCTTGACCCACTGGGCATCTGGTTGTTGAGGATCCGGGCACCATTCCAGCCACGCCATGACACCGCAACCACGGTAAGACAAGTTGATAGGTGTACGGCTGCAGACAACAACAAGTAAAAGCAAATCAACTATCAAAATGCAAAAGACCACTTTTGTATCACTGTGCGGCGTCAACATCAAAGTCAGACTCTCCAGGGGGGCGAGGACGGGCATCAGCTATCATGTGAATTAGATGATGCCGAGGAGGAGGTCATTCCAGCATACATGAGGTCCGGTGCACCCGAAGCGAAAACTGGCCTCGCTATGCTGGGATGTGGACGACCCAGGCGTTGGTACCCCCTGGTGACCCAGTCCCTGTAATACCAAGTGTAGAAGGTGGCGTAGGATACCGGTTGCAGAACCGCTTTCCCTGGGCCAGTACACGTCGAAGTGGTAGACCTTGCGCCATTCCCGATAGTCGGTCGGGTCATCCGGGGCTGGTCCCAGGGTGTCAGGGGCTACCGGATGCCACTGACCCGGTACATAGATTCGAATCCATTCCACCCTCGTTCCTGCTGGCCCATTGACGATGTCATAGTCAAAATAGCGAGGTAGGACCCATCGTGCTGCACCCTGCACCGTACTATTGAACATTTCAGCCCGACAAGCTGCTCAAAGTTTTCACGGAAAGCGGCGGACACAGAGAGACAACATGCACAGCACCAAGCAAGACAACCCAATGAGAACTCACATACAAAGCAAGCACAACCGCATCTTTATCCAACATGCTACTGAAGTGTCAATCCGAATCATTCCAAGGATCATGGAATGGCGGCGGTGACGGTTCCCGCCACGCCCCATCCGGTACCGACGAGCCCACCGAGGACTCGATGTCTGCATTGGCGAGCATCGCGAGTCCGATGGATTGGACAGGAGGTCCAAGTCGTTGGTACCCTCGCGTTTGCCAGTCTCGGTACTCCCACACGTGATAGGACACATAGGAACTGGGCGTGGCTATAGGATCCATTGTGGTGCCTCCGGTGCTGTCTTCAGACCAGTACACTTGGAAGTGATATGATCTGCGCCACTCCCGAAACGTGGAAGCGTAAAGTGGGTCCGGAACTGGCGCCTCCTCAGGAACGGGCCTCCAAATGCCCGGAGAGTAAATTCGAACCCATTCCACTCCTCTATCGATCTGGTACTCGAAATACTGGGGGTTCATAGCAGCAATACGGGCTTGCACGACTGCTAAACCAATCGAACGTCTGCGGCAAGGACACACATGCATGGCCAACCGCACACATCCACTGAGGAGCAAGGCAACTTTTCAAACACAAGGTGAAACAGATCAACAAGGTCTGAAATGTCCGACACCTGGCTTTCACTGTCTTTGATGTCGCGCACACCTGCAATGATAGTGACCTGGTCGTCTACGAGCACAAGGGGAAAGACATTTCCGTCCATGGCGCAGGATGGCGTGACAGTAATGCTTGCATGTTGCCGATGGGGGTTGCGATGGACGGCCAGCACGTTTGGAATAAAACACTGTAAAGGGTCGTCGAGATCGCCGCGGCGCTGAAGCTGATGCCGTCCGAGATCGCTTGGACGAGCGCCCTGGACTGCGTGGTACTTCATCACGGGAAGGGTCAGTGCTGTAGATCGAGCGGCGTGTGCGCTGCGATTTCGAAGAGGTAGGGCAGGATTGTCCGCGAGGGGCTGAGATCGAAGGGCTGCGTACCGAGGGCATAAACTGTGGGTGTAGAATCACCGGTGGTGGTGGTGGTGGTGGAGGAGGAGGTGGAAGAAGCAATGGCAGACTTGGCGGGGGCGGAGGCGACGTAGTCAGCCGAATGGGTCTGTCGAGTAGAGCACCGGGTCCATGAAATTGCAACCACGTCGGCTGCGCTCCATGGGTCCAGGTAATGTACGTCTGTACAACTTGTTCTGACATG